GGAGGATGGAGAGATGTAAGGGGGAGGATGGAGAGATGTTAGGAGGAGGACGGAGAGATGTAAGGGGGAGGATGGAGAGATGTTAGGAGGAGGACGGAGAGATGTAAGGGGGAGGATGGAGAGATGTTAGGAGGAGGATGGAGAGACGTGAGGAGGAGGACGGAGAGATGTGAGGAGGATGGAGAGATGTGAGGAGGATGGAGAGAAGTGAGGTGGACGGAGAGATGTGAGGAAGAGGGGTTCCTTTTCCCAGGTTCATAAGGCTTTTGCAGAGGACACAGATTGTGTTCTCAGAGGCCAAGTCTGGATGCTTACACCTAGCTGTAATTCTGTCCTCAGGGAAGTTGGTGCCTTCTTCTGGTTTCTGTAGGCACCAGGTACACATATTCATACACTCACAGGGACACACATAACTAAAAATATATATTAAACATTGTAATGTGGCAAGTCATTGCGGAAGATAGCTAATGTGGGCCTCTGCTGCACAGACACGCACACACAGACACGTGTGTGCACATATCTTCACGCTGTGTTCACGTCACAGGGAATCCTAGAGTGCCATCCTTCTTTGGTGGTCACCCACGCTCAGCTGGGACCTTTGGTGATGCAGGTGTCTTTGATTCACTTTGGTTCCTGTAGGAACCCTTATCCATGCTTCCATCCCAGGATAAACTCACTGGTTCACCGGGTTGTACTCATGCGGGGCCTTTCCTTTTGCCCTTTATTCTCCCCTTTATTTGCAAGGAGACATAGAAATTGTCTCTCCAGGAAAAGCAAAATCAGCCAAGACCAGGGAGCTGGCAGGTTCTGCCCTCCCCCCAGGCACCGGGCTCCGTCCTCACCCCACTCCCATTTGCATGTCAGCTCTGTTCTCAATTACTTTAGTCTCACTGCTTTCCCTTGGGCTCCCCTGATCCTCCCAGAGCTCCCTTGAACCTCCCCCGACTCCCCTAAACCTCCCCCAAGCTCCCCTGATCCTCCCCGGGCTCCTCTGAACTCTGCCTGGCACCCTCACACCTGCACTTGCTGTGTGGGTTAATCTGGATTGTCAACATGACAGGAGATAGAATCACCATGGAAACAATCCTCTAACTATCTCTGTCACTGATAAAGAAGAGGACCTGCCCTACAGCTAAGTTGCATCATCCTCTGGGCTGGGGTCCTGGGTTGAATGGAAAGGAGAAGATGAACCTAACACCGGGTTCGCCTCTCTGCTGCTTCACTGTGGACCCGACTTGAGCAGCTGACTCACCATGACAGGCTCTTCCCACTAACTGTAAACAAGGTGAACCCTTCCCCTCTGTCTTCGTTCTGGTTTCTGATGAACCACCATGGCCGAGAGCATCTCAGCGAGGAAAGGGTTTATCTGCCTTACACTTCCAAAACAACATCCATCATTGAAGGAAGTCAGGACAGGAACTCACACTGGGCAGGAACCTGGAGGGAGAAACTGGTACAGAGCCCAGGGAAGCTGCTGCTTACTGACTTGCTTGCATGGCTTGCGCGTCTACTTTAGTACAGAACCCAGGACCAGCAGCCAGGGATGGCACCACCCTCAATGGGCTGGGCCTCCGTCATGAACCACTAATTAGGAAAATATCCTACAGGTTTGCCAATGGTTGATCTTCTACAGGCACTTCTTCACTTGAGTTCCCTCGTCTCAGATGGCTTTAGCTTGTGTCAAGTTGACATAAAAATTCACTCCTTGTCAACCTGACACATAAACACATGATTGTTAGACCGTAACCTTTCCTTTCTTGTTTGTTCCCAAGATCACACGTTAATATTAACATTACAATATAAAACATTTCGCAATCTTAAAAGGCCCACAGCCTTACAAATTCAAACACTTCGAAATTTAGTTTTCTTAAAACTTCAAGATGTCTTTTAACATCTAAACATCTTTAGTCTCTCAGCTGTGGGTTCCTGTAAAATTGAAAGCAAACTAAATACTTCCTTATTTCAAGAAGGAAGAACCAGGGCACAGTCAGCAACCTGGACAAAACCAAACCAAACTCCAACTGTGTAAGTAGCCCACTGTTCAATGTCTGGGATTCACACATAACTTCTGGGCTCCAACAAGGGGCTTGGGTCACTTCTCCAGCTCCGCCCTCTGCCGCACACACGGCCTGTCTTCTAAACAGAGGCAGGCTTCACTCTGCCACTGCTGCTGTTCTGGTGGTCAGTTCGTGGTTCTAACATCTCCAAAATGCTGGGTCCTCCGCTGACACTGAGTCTGCGCCTCACCTCTGGCCTCTCACAGTGCCAAGCCTCAGCTGCTCTCCTTGACCCCCTCATGCCTTCAAAAACCAGCACCACTGGGTGACTCTTACACCTCCCAAGTTGGGTTGTCAGCATGAGGTTCAACTCTGGGCACCTCTGGGCACAGCTTCTGTGTGCACCCAGGAGGGAAATGGAGGGTGCCTTCCACACACACTTCCTAGATTTCCTCTCAGTTATGCTGGTCTCTTCTTAATCCCTGCTGATTCTGCAGCCCCAGCTGAGCTGAACCAAGGAAACCTTACTTCAAATATCAAGTGCTCACCATAGTCTTCTTGTTGTTTTTTCTTGTTAAAATAAGATCTCTCTATAGCCCTTGCCTTCTGGTCACTCGGAAGACCAGTCTGGCCTTAACTCTGCCTCCCAAGTGCAGTGCTGAGACTAAAGGTGTGGATCCCCACACCCAGGAAGCCCTGGTTGTTTAAGGGGCTCTCAAATGTCCCTCTGTAACTTCACAAGCCAGGCCTCCATCATCTGCCCTGTCCTCAGCTGTCTGATCCCCCAGGCTCCCACGGAACAGCCCACCGGGCTCTGCATACTCAGAGTTCAGTTGCCACTATGGTCATCCCCAAAACATGGTCATGTCTGTCACTTAGGATTGCTATTGTGTGATAAAACACCATGATCCAAAGCAACTTGGCTTAGGAAGCTGTGGAAGGTGCTGCTTACTGGCTTGCTTCCATGCCTCACTCCGTCTGTTTTCCTAGAAAACCCTGGACCACCAAGCACAGGGGTAGCACGGTCTGCAGGGAGCTGGGCCCTCCCACAGGCCAGTCTGCTGGGGACATTTTCTCCACTGAGGTTCCCTCTTCTGAAGTGACTCCAGCTTGTATCAAATTGACATAAAACTGTCAAGTACAGACCATAAGAGACTAGCAAATGCTTCCAGGCAGATCCTGTATGGTGGGACACCATACTGCTGAGTCATTTACATGGTCCCAGGAATGAAGCTGAGTGGGACAACAGCAAGAAAAGACAAACGCAGCCGTGTGGGGCACCTGGGGTCAGACGAGGGCCTCCAGCACCCCGTGGCTCAGCACCTGCATTGTACAGAGTTGAACAGAGAGGCGGGGTTATTGCCGACGGCTGAAAGGAGCAGCTTATGACAGACAGTGAGGAGACGGGGCTTACGCACACGCAGGGATCTGGAAAGCAGGTATTTAACCTCCATAGAAGCAGTCTCTGTGGGACATCTTCAGACAGACAGCACCCAGGGGGAGAATGGAGGATGCCTTCCACACACCCTGTCAACATCACACACGGAGCAGAAGAGAAGGCTTCTCTGTTTCCATCAGGTTTGGAAACTCTGGAGTCCTCGGCATGGCCATGCTGCTGTCAACAACACTCATCCCTCAATACCTCACATACTCGGGCTTCCTGGAGGGGGCAGAGCACTGGGGTTCTGTGATCACAGGACTGCCATCCCTTTGTGAAGTCAAGCACTACAGCATGGGAGCCATTGATGTTGGGGAGGGGAGCTGGTACCTCCTGAGCATCCCTGAGCCCTTGGAATCTGGGACGGTGTGTGATGAGGCTTAGGTCCAGGCTGAAGACTTGGGGACAAAGTGGTGGTATCTGGAAATCTACCCCCAGCCCCGTCCCCAAGAGGGACACACACGCGGGCACACTCATGACGCTGAGGTACTTATACGCGCATACTGATGGAAGATTGTCGGGGACCAGCCTCGACAAAAACACCTCTTGCCAGGGCAGGGATGTGGGGATTTAGAAACATTAGTAAAGAATGCGAAGACGCATGTAAAATAATAAAAAAGAAAAACAGAATAGCGTCAGGAGGGAGTTCCAGTGAATACTGAAATTGCTGTGTTTAATTTCCAATTGCTTAAAATACCCCGACCCCAAGAAGCAGGAGTAAGATTTAAAAGAAAAGCTGCTTTAGCACGATACCAGGAAATGCACAGACCGGTTGAAGGTCGCAGGACACCTCCACAGTCAAACATTCTGTTGCTAGGACAAAACAAGTCACGCTCACACCCTAGACCAAAACATTCTGTAGGCAAATGTTGGGTGGAATCCAATGTTACCTCCTTATAGGAACTGGAACCTTAGTAGGATCCTTAGACTTCTGCTTGAAGTAGAAGCGTGTCTGCTTCTCTATTCCTGAAATACAAGGTCTAGCTATTAGCCACTCCTGTTACTGTCTGACAATCACCTTGAGAGAGCAGAACTCTCTGCTTCGAGTCTAGGTGGAACCTTTGTTTGAGATAGAAACACAATAAACTTGAAGGAATAGTTCAAGGTGGAAATAGGCTCACATTTTTGGGCCTACAGAGATGATACACACTGTAGCCCGTGTGTGTACATACGGGCCTGCAGACACATCAGGAAATGCATGTGTGCATTTACCTGCGTGCATACAGGCATAGATCAGAACATCTACACCCACATGCACAAACCTGTGCCTTGCATGCCCACAGCCATGCATCTGCACATGCATTTGCACTCACATGCATGGACTAAAGTATACACACAAAGGTGTGTGCTTGCATGTGTGTCTACATATGCACGTGTTGGAAGCTTGCATGGAACCCACAGAAGCGCTTCTGAGGGGAACAGAGCTGGGCGAGTGGGGACTGTCCCCCATTTCCACCTGAGTCGCACTTTCTGGAAAGTGTGAGCTATGGCGTGAGTGAGAGTGAGCTGGGGGCCGGGGCTTCTGCGAGCACAGGAAGAAGAGGAGGGTGCGTGGGGAAAGCGGAGGCACCAAGCCTCAGCTTTAAAGTGAGCCGCATGGGCGGCAGGAGCCTTTTGCAATTTGCAAAGCCCAAGCATTGGGCAATCGTGGTTTCCTCTGGAGGGGAGGAACTCAGGCTCGCCAGCCCCATCCCTGGGCTTCTGGGCCTCAGCCGCTCTGGCATGGAGAATGTGGTACAGCCTTCAGTGTTTGTGGTGGATGGACAAACGGACATTCCATTCAGACGCCTGGGACAGAACCACAGGAGGCAGCGCTGCGGCATTGGCCAAGTCAACCTGGTCCTGATACTGCTGCTGGGCGCCGGGCTGGCTGCTCAGGGCTGGTTCCTATTGAGACTGCACCAGCGACTTGGGGACACAGTGACTCGCCTACCGGTACGTGGGGCTCGGGGGCCCAGGGTAGCCTCTCCAGTGTCTATCTCTTTACAGCTGTGTATGCGTGCCAGGCAGAGACTAGACCCCAGGGCTTTGACCCTGTCTTCTCATCCGTATGTGGGGATCTGATAGAGGGATATGCGTGTGTGGGGCCCGGCAACTTCCCTGGGACTCACGTACATGACTGTTTTTACTAGCCGGACCCTTGTGCCCATCCCTGGCTTCATGGCCATCCTGGTTCACTCTCTGTCCCTTTCAAATAAGCCACGGGTGTATCTGTCTGTGTGCCACACCTGGTCACTTGTGTAAACAATACGCTTCTGCAATCTTCGCCTTTGTTTTCTTGTTAAGCTTTTATTTATTACCTTTACTTATTAGTGTGTGGATATGACCAGGCGTGTACTTGCTTGAGCATGTATGTGGGACACCTTTGTGGAGTCAGCTCTGTGTCCCCCTTTATGTGGGTTCTGGGGTTTGAACTCGGATAGCCAGGCTCGGCGGCAAGTACTTTTACCCCCTGAGCCCTCTCACTTGCCCTCAAATGACTTTTTTTTAAGACATGTGAATATTCCAAAAACCTTAAAAACAATTCTGAAACACTTCTAGTCTCAAGCATTTCAGAAACTCAGTTTTCATCAGATCTTGGCTGAATTCCATGGCACACACTTATCATCCTGGTTCTTGGGCTGGAGAGGAGAAGGCTCAAGGATTTCAAGGTCATCAGAGGCTAAGGTCATCAGAGGCTAGTTGGGAAGTCTAAGGCCAGCCTGGGCTACATGAGAGTCAATCTCAGAAACAAACTGATTGTGTGTGTGTGTGTGTGTGTGTGTGTGTGTGTGTGTGTTTCTGTGTGGATGTGGGTGTGTGCGCACGCATGTGTGGGACTGTTGTGTGTGCATGTGGCCCTGTGTATGTGTCCGTGGGTGGTGTCTACGGCCATAGCCAGACAGTCTCTCATCACCATGTGCCTGTGTGACTCTGGGTGTGGTCTGTCCTCACCAAGCGCCCTGTTTGCATTTCAGGACGGAGACGCAGACTCCTGGGAGAAGCTGACCCAAGGTGAGTTGGGCCCCAGCTCCTAAGAAGGAGATGGAATGGTTCCCACTCTGGCCCTCCCACACCCTAGGATCACCCAGTGGGATTTTACAGAGCCCCACAGGTACCTCTCCCTCAGGGCTGGCAAAACAGAAGTCTGGGTCACTTCCAGAAGGGGCAGAACCTGACACCCACAGGTGACCCCAATGAACCCCCACCCCTGCTTCTTTCTGTGTCTCTAACCTCGGACTCTCTTCCCCAGAGCGGCGGCGGTCTCAACAGGCCAACCCAGCAGCACACCTCACAGGTAAGGGGACCCTGGGTCTTCACATGGGGTGGAGCTTGGGGTGTCGTGGGAGAGCCAGGTCTTGAGAAGTTAAAGCAGCCATTTCGGCATTCATTCAGTGTGTTTATAATTTTTGTTTACACTTACTTCTTTTTACTTCTTATTGTTCATACACACGCACATCCCGCAGCGTGGAGGCCAGAGGACAGCTCTCGGGACGATTGTTTCTTTCCACCTTGTGGCCTCCAGGGATCGAACTCAGGTTGTCACTCTTGGCTCCAAGTACCTTTACCCTCAGAGCCATCTTGCTGGCCTCATTTGTACAATCCTTATTGGCAGGTGACCCAGAAAGCACAGCCCCTGAGGACTAAATAAGGTCCTCCCTTTGCCCTGCTAGTCATGGGGACACCTCCCAAGGTCCTCAGAGGCCTCAGAGAATGCTGGGACACAGGCCTATCACACCCTGTATTTTGTTAGTAGACAGGGTCTGTCTATGTAGCCTGGGCTGTCCTGGAACTAGCTCTGTAGACCAGGGTGACTTCAAACCCACAGAGGTCCTCCTGCCTCTGCTTCCTGAGGGCTGGGAGTAAAGGTGTGCGCCACCACCATCTGGCTGCCACCATGCCCAGTCGTATGTACAATATTTTTTCTTGTGCTTCCATACCACAGTCAGTTTGATTTCTAGTCTAACACAGTATGAAATCAATCAGAACAGGGATAAAATATGCTATTATCAAAAACTGTTCACAACATAAAAGGTGGAGGTGGAGGCAGGGGATGGCTCAGCGCTGGTCACACAGGCATGAGTCTAAATCCCAGCATCCCAGTCAAAAACCAGGCACACACCCCCATGACCCCAGCGGAGGCAGACACAGGAAGATCCCTGGGACTCGTTGGCCAGCAGCCTCAACAAACAGGGGACTTCCAGATTCAGTGAGAGATAAGGTGGCCGGAAGCTGAACTTGAGAAAGTTATCTGGTGTTGACTTCTGACCACACACACACAGACACACACACACACACACAAACACAGACACATTCTCTCTCTTTTTGAGCCAGGATCTCAAGTAGCCTAAACTGGTCTTGAACTGCCCGCTAGCAGAGGATGACCTTGAACTCCTGGTTCTCCTGTCCTTGTCTCTTAGGGGTGACAGGCGTTGCCACCACGTCTAGTTTATTCTGTGCAAAGGCTGGAGTGCAGGGCCTCCTGGGCAAGTGTTCTGCCTCCTCAGCCCCAACCTCATTCCTAAGTATTGACACTTCACTAGGAAACTTAGGCACCCTTCAGCTTCCTCTTTGGTATCCAAGTGGCTTTGCTTCTTTCTGCCTCAGTTTCTCCCCCTGCAGAAGGAGATGGGAATGAAATGAGTCAGGATACAACCTAAACAGATTACTTTGCTCCCCTGCTCCTCAGAGTCCCCCCACCTACAGGATGGGAGTGGACTGAGTCAACCCAAACAGTGGAGCAACAGACAGGGTTAACGGTTAACATAAGCTCACACAAGAAGGGTGGGCACTACCTGTGCTGACCGGTTCTCTCTCTCTCTCTCTCTCTCTCTCTCTCTCTCTCTCTCTCTCTCTTTCTCCCTCTCTCTCTCCCAGGGGCCAATGCCAGTTTGATAGGCAAGGGTGGACCTCTGCTATGGGAGACTCACCTTGGCCAGGCCTTCTTGAGGGGCCTGAGATATCACAACGGGGCCCTGGTGACCACGGAAACCGGCTACTACTATGTGTACTCGAAAGTACAGCTGAGCGGCATGGGCTGCCCCCAGAGCCTGGCCAATGGCGTTCCCATCACACACGGGCTGTATAAACGTACATCCCGCTACCCTAAGGAGCTAGAACTGCTGGTCAGTCGGCGGTCACTCTGTGGCCGGGCCAACACCTCGCGAGTCTGGTGGGACAGCAGCTTCCTGGGCGGTGTGGTGCATCTGGAAGCAGGGGAGGAGGTTGTGGTTCGTGTACCTGGGGACCGCCTGGTCAGACCACGGGATGGCACCAGGTCCTATTTCGGAGCATTCATGATCTGAAGTCCATGGTAACGATGGATTGATGGCAAGGGGGCACCTCTCCGAGACAGACCTCACACCCAGCAAGCAGGGATCTTGGAGTTCCCTTTAAGAATCCCCAAATTCTGCAGGTGGAGCCCAGGGACCATGTAGAATGCTGACCTGCCTTGGGAAATCTTCAAATTGAAGACTTGGGGTGTGGACCCCAGGAATGTAGGGTCAGCCCATTTGCCTGATATTCAGGAAGAAAGAATGAAGCTGGGGTATTTATGTGTCTGATGACCACTGTGGACTCAGAGCTTCTGGGCTTATAGGCTGGAGACGAGAAACCTCCTCAGGGTGTCAGGGGACCCTGGCCACTGCCACAGATGGTCTGCATTTGGTTTCCAGCCACTAGGGCAGCATTGGCTAGCTGGCTGTGACCGGCCTGGGGCCAGCTCCTGAGCACATGAATTCTTCAGGGATACTCTGATGGGACCTCGGTACTCGGCCCAATGCATGGCTATGACAGACTCTCCAGAAATGATGGGGAAAGGAAGGGAGGGAAGGAGGGAATGCCGAAGAGAAGGAAAGACGAAAGGTAGAAAGAAGGATGGATTAAAGAGAGAAGAGAGGTGACCCCCTCCAGAGCACTTTATTGCATACACTTAGAACAGAGTGCTTCAGACCTGCAGAACGCCTGGAGCTGATGGGAGTGTGAGATGGCTCAGAGGATAGAGAGCTTGCGGCTCTATCATGAGGATCCAAGTTCAAGTACAGAGACAGATGTGGTGGTGGGCACCTGCAGCCCCATCAGTGGGGAAGGGAGGGATGAGCTTGCTGGCCAAGCAGTCTAGCTGAATTGGTGAGCTCCAGGTTCAGTGAGAGACCTCCTCAAAGAAAGCAGACAGCTCCCAAAGATGACATCTGAGGCTGTCCTCTGGACCCCACGTGCAGGACACACACAGAATAAATAAAATAAAATAAAGAATCTTAAATAATAGTAGTTGAGAAGCTCTTTATTGTGAATGAAAATTTCTGTCACACCAGGTCCCACAGCTGTTCAGTCCCAAATAAACACACAGAGGCTTATATTAATTATAAACTGTTTGGCCTACTGCTTGGGCTTATTATTAATTAGGTCTTACAATTTAAATTAACCCATAATTCTTGTCTGTGGCTAGCCACAAGGCTTGGTACCTTTTCTCAATATGGCATTCTCATCTCTTCTGCATCTGGCTGGTGATTGTGTCTCTGCCTTTCCTCTTCCCAGAATTCTCTTAACCTGGTCACCCCGCCTATACTTCCTGCCTGGTTACTGGCCAATCAGCGTTCTATTAAGCCAATACGAGTGACAAATCTTTACAGTGTCCAGGAGCATTATCCCACAGTACTTTGTATCTTGTAATTGTCTTGTTCTGTTTGTTCATTTCTTTCAAGACCAGGCCTCAAGTAGCCCAGGCTGGCCTTGAATTTGCTATGTAGCCCAGGCTGGCCTTGATCTCTTGACCCTCCATCTCCTGAGTGCTGGGTTGACAGCTGTGTGCCACCATGCCTGGATAAGCACCTTGAGTAGATTATATCTTCTTTAGTTTTTTTTTTAATATTCTTGAGGCAGAGTCTTGAGCAACCCTTCTGCCTCAGTTTCCCCAGCATCTAGAACTACAGCTGTATGTTACCTTAGCTGAACATCTGTACAGAGAAACCTAAGACCCAGGCAGAATATGTTGCCCCACACCTTCTAGATGGAAAGGCCACACTAAAGAGGGACAGGGCAGCCTCCCTCTGCCCAGGAACCACAGCCAGTCTGAGCTTACTTTCCGTCCCCTGTCCTTGCAATGCCACCGGTGGGAGGAGGAAACACCTCCAGTACCCAGCCTCACCACACTGGAGTTTCCTGTACGCTCATCGTGGTCTGTTTCCGTGGCTTTGATGAGACCAAGGTGTGGGGACAGTGTATTTATAAAAAGCTGCCAGCAGCCATCAGTTTCCGTCTTAAGAAGAAGAAAAAAAATCATTCTTGAAGTTTTTCCTCAGCTTGAGGAGAATAGAGGGAGAGGTTGTGGGTGAGGACGGGAGGTGGGAAGACACAAGGAGAGAAGGTAAAGGGGCGAGGAGAAGGATGAGGAAAGAGATGGGGACCCCCTAGGAGGCCTTGGTGACTTCAGGTAAAGCCTAGAGGCAGGAAGTCCCTGGCCCAGTCATTGACCCATTTCTGATTTTCTTCCACCCCTGGGGCTCTACTACCCTGCTTCCTGGCACCTCATCCTCCCCCTAGGCAGCCACTCACCCCTCTTCCCTTCACCTTTTACCAAGACCCAAAAATAATGATGGTATAGCAGTGTCTTAGGATGGCCAACCGACACCACTGTGTTCAAATGGGAGACATCATTGCAGAGAAATCAGACGATTCTTATGCTCTGGAACTGATGCTCCAAGTTCAAATCCCTGCTCTGCCACTTCCCAGCTGGGTGTCTTTGAGATCCACCCTTGGCATCTTTGGGCCTCAGTTTAGCTGGGGCTGCAGTGAGCTCTTTTATCTTTAGCAGCGCCATTCTTCCTGTAAGTGTGGTGGTCACTGTGCTGGTGCTTTGGTGCCAGGTATGGGAACCTCCCCCCTGACCACCAAAACAATGCAAGCTGCTGCTGTTGCCCTTTGTTGCCCATCAGAACTTGATAAGACCTTATCAAGTTGTCTTGCCCAGCTCGAACCCTGTGAATTGCAATAATAACTGGCTTGGCACGATGTGCCCATTGGTGCAATAGTGGCACATACGTTAGTGGAGGAACTAATTGGTTGGATTTAAATCCCACTCCGCAGGAGAAAACTCATGCCTGGTACTGTAACTCTGTCCAAGCAGTCATGTTTGGGAAGCTCACAGGCCCCAAGGGTGAACCTACTACTATTTATTTATTTATTTATTTATTGCTAAATGGACATAGTATGAAACTACCCTTTATCTAAATATGTGTAGATCCATGCAGCTCTCAGACCTCATCAGAGAATCTTCTCGGTTCAGTGGACGAGAGTGAATGCTGAAACCCACAATTGGTCACAGACAGAGAAGAAAAGACTGAGGAGCACTCAGTCCCAAACAGGAAATCCATGTCCCAATCCTCCTCAAGGCTCAGGGACCATCACGGAAGACTGTCAAAGCCTGAGGTCTGGAGGACCAGAGTAAACCTGTGTCTTCTGGGCAGGGCGGGACCCCAGCACTCACAGGAAAACACAGCAGCTGTGGTTCCTCCCCAGATCAGGCCAGTCAGCCTTAGCCTGGAGGGGGAGAGGCTCATGACCACATCTCTGCTGAAGAGCTACAGACTGCTGATGGCTCTTCTTCAAGAGTGTATGGTTCCTAGTATCCTGCAATGCTCCTTTGAATAGCCATCACTCATGCTGCTTGGGGTGTTGTGGGTGAGAATGGCCCCCAGAGGTTCATATGTCTGAATGTTTGATCTCCCTTACCGGAACTGTTTGGGAACAATTAAGAGGTGTGGTTTTGTTGGAGGAGGTGCGTCACTGGGGTGGCCTTGGAGGGTTCAAAACCCCACAGCAGGCCCAGCCTCACTCCTTCTCCCTCTGCCCATGGGTCAGGATGTAGCTCTTGGCTACTGCTCCAGCGCCATGCCTGTCCGTTCCCCACCATGATGATTGTGGACTGAGCCTCTGAAACTGTAAGCAAGCCCCAGTTAAATGCTTCCTTTATAAGAGTTGCCTTGGTCATGGTGTCTCCTCGCAGCGGCAGAACAGTGGCTGAGACTCTCAAACAGGCCATTCTCTCTGGACTCGGGAATTATAGAGGACAAGGGCACAAAAGTTGGAATATGGGGGTCCTGGAGGAGTTGGAGGGGGAGTGCCGTGAATATGATAAAAATGCACCATATACTGGAATCCTCAAACACTAAAAACCGCGTGGGGCTTGTCGGGAGCCCATTGGACATTTGAGAGCAGGCCCTCTAAGGAGAGAATGAAATGTGCTTCCTTCTTTCTTCCTTTCTCACTTCCCCACCGCGAAGCGATTGCCCCCTCTTAAGGTATTCCCACCATGACATGCCCCACCACCTCAAAGTAACAGGGGCTACAAACCATGGGCTAAAACTGCCCAAAACAAAAATCAGTGAACCTTTTCCTCCTTATACTTTGTCTCTGCCGTTTGTTGTAGAAACAGAAAACCGACCTGGCTGTGATTGTGCACACATTTAAATTTCTGATTGTCTCAACTGTTTTGTCAGAGCACGTCTGCAAAGGGAAACTTTGTTGCCAACATTCATGTGTGTGTGTGTACGTGCGTGCATGTGGCATGTGCATGCAGTAGTAGACATGTACCCGTGTGCACTTATGTATGCAGAAGCCAGCAGCCAACCTTGGAGTTATTCTTCAGGCACCATCCACCCTTGTGGGTTGAGTAGGTGTCTGTTCATATATCCTCAGTAAAAGTTCATTCAACATCCAGGATGCTGGGAGTGGATACCAGCTGGGAACCATCCCTTTAAACGAATGCTCCTTTCCCGGGACTGTTGAAGTTCCAGACAGCTTAGGAAGCCCTGAGCTATAAAGAGTGGATGAAAAGATGCAGGTGTCCAGGTGCAGGTGTTTAAGCACAGGTGTCCAGGTGCAGATATCTAATCACAGGTGTCCAGATGCAGGTGTCAAAGCACAGGTGTCCAGGTGCAGGTGTCTAATAACAGGTGTTCAGATGCAGGTGTCAAAGCACAGGTGTCCAGGTGCAGGTGTCTAATCAGATGTCCAGGTGTATGTATTCAAGCATGTGTGTCCAGGTTCAGGTGTGCAGGCATGTGAATTCAGGTGCAGGTGTCCAAGCACAGGCATCCAGATACATGTGTCCAGATACAGTCCACACATGCTCCAGCTGTCAATCATCTCCACTCTGGCATCTGTCACTAGCTGCCAGCTGAGCAATCTCCATCAATACTGAGCAGAATCTTGCTGAGCAGATTCCTTGTTGTTGTTGGTGGTGTCGTCAAGCTGGGAAGTTCTTTGAGGCTGCTCAAAGATGCCACTGAGTCACTTCCTGTGGGGAAGCTGCACAGATGCCTTATGAGGAGCAAGAGTCAAGACACTTCCATCTTTGAGTTTCCCCAAACTCAAACCCTTCTGAGAGGATTTTAATGTTTCCAGGGCTCTTTCCAAAAAGCAAAATGTAAATTAATTTGCCGTTATAGACTAAATTGTGCGTGGCACCCCCAAAAACATGTGCTAAAGGTCTGACATGCACTCCCACACTCTGTTTTTGCTCTGATTTGCTGTCTGTTGCTGTGTGAAATGCGCTGACCATGAGTAGTATGGGAGGAAAGGGCTGATTTGGCTTTCACTCCCAGGTCACAGTTCATCGCTGAGGTAGGAACCATGGAGGAATGCTGCCCCATTCCTGCTCACAGCCAGTGAGCTTCATTACACACCCCAGGCCCAGCTGCCGAGGGGTGGTGCTGCCACAGGGGGCAGGCCCTCCTACATCTACCATCAAGCTGCCAAATGTGGGACAACTTCCCAGTGTGCGTCTGTGAAGACTCTGCTAGACAGCGGTCAGCAGACAGTAGTAACCCAGGATGAGTGGAGACTGGAGGGCAGCTCAGTGGGACGTGGCCAGGTCAGTCAGGGGCCCCCACTCAGAGTTGGAAGACTGGAGAAGGGGTCCACCGTCTGCTGCTGTAACCTGAGCCTGAATACTTTACAAAGAGAAAAGGGTGGGTTGATCTCAGGAAGTTCAGAGGCTGTGCCAACATCGTGACTTGGTGATTGACACCACGAGGTCCTTAAGGATTTTAAAGACCTTGACTCTGCTAAACCTAAGATTAGTGGTTTCAACTGCAGAAAAAAAAATAGTACAAGTAGGGTTGGGGTTCTAGTCAATAGAGGAGCAATCAAAGACAGCCTAGGGTGGGACACAGTGGGTACAGCCCTTGTCTGGTCCCCTCCTGCTCCCTCCCTTCCTTCCCT